TTCTCTTTATCTTTGGAATTTGCAAGCTTCACTATTAGATGTCGAGGTGTTGAACGGTTTTTATTGATTTTAGGGGGGGATCTCTCTATTTCCTGGATCTGAATGCCTGTTTCCCTTCCCAGATTGGGAAAGTTTTCAGCTAGGATTTGTTCAAATACATATTCTGGCCCTCTGTCCCTTTCGGCGCCCTCGGGAACCCCAATTAAACGTAGGTTTTTCTTCCTTAGAGTGTCATTTATTTGCCTTAATCTGTCTTCATGGTTCTTTAATTGTTTATCTCTTTTTTCCTCAGTTTCCCTCTTTGCCATTAACTTGTCTTCTATGTCACTCACTCGTTCTTCCACCTCGTTAACCCTCGTCGTTAGGACTTCTAGTTTGGATTGCATCTCATTCAATTGATTTTTAATTTCTGCCTGATTGGATCTAAATTCTGCAGTCATGAAGTCTCGTGAGGCCTTAATGCTTTTTTCTAGAGCCACCAGTAGCTGTAGAATAGTGCTTCTGAATTGGCTTTCTGACATTGAAGTGTAATCCAGATTTTGTAACTCTGTGGGAGAGAGGGCTGTTTCTGATTCTTTCTTTTGAAGTGAGGTTTTCCTTCTAGTCATTTTGCTCAGTGCAGAGTGGCCAAAAACAAGTTGTATTGGAACACGGGGGAGTATCACTGGTCCGTCCAGCTGGTCTTCTGGGTGAGGGGCCTGTTGCGCTGATTCTCAGGTGTTAGCACTTGGGGGAGCTGCTCTGCCCCTGCCTGCTGCAGGGCTCAGCGGGGGTTGTTTACCCCGTGAGGTCTCAGGAGGAACAGTTGCAGTTGCTATGGCAACTCTGGAAGCCTGGATTCAGCCTCCGCAGGAACTACGGGGCTCGGGGCTCTCGGCTCTCGGCTCCGTCCGCAGGGCCTGGAGGCTCCGGGGCGGGGCCGCTGATCTGCTCAGCTCCGGGCAGGAGCGTCCTTGCTGTCCTGGGCCCTCCCGGCCTCTGCCTGTCCCGGGGGGAGGCCGGATCCTGGGCTGTGTCCCGGCGCCCTGTGCTCCGGGGCCTGTGTTGTTGGATTTGCGCTCCCGCCCCGCAGCTCCCTCCCTGGAGCCGCTCCCGAGCCCCTCCGAACTGCTCCGGTGCGCGCTGCAGCCCTTAGGGAGCTCGGAGCACTCCCCTGCGCTCGCAGGTGTCTGTTAGTGTCCCAGGGAGCCCGAGGGCATCCCCGCTCTCCTGGGTCCTGCTCCAACTCCCTGCGAGCCCCTTTCCGCCCGCCCGGGAAGGTTGGTGCAGCTCCTGCTCCTCCGGGACGGGGCTCTCCTGTCCTGGGGACACTCGCCCCGGCCTCAGCCCGGCTCCTCGCGGGGCCCCTCCCCCTCGGAGGCCTTTTGTTTCTTTATTTCTTTTTCCCCGTCTTCCTACCTTGATAGAAGCGCGGACTTTTCTCACTGTAGCATTCCAGCTGGTCTCTCTTTACATCTCAGGCCGAATTCGTAAATTTTCAGGATGGTTTGAAGGTTATCTAGGTAATTTGGTGGGGACAGGTGATTTGGGGACCCTGCTCTTCCGCCATCTTGCCCCTCCCGCCATTTAGGAATTTAATTGACCATTTAATATGATTTCTTTTTCTCTTCTTTCTCAACATATCAATTACACTTCTTTTACTTTCTTTTGTAGTTTCCCTAGATTTTGCAGTATATGTTTATGCTTACTCCAGATCTGCTTTCAAGTAACACTGTCCCACTCTGGCATTTTCAAATGGCCACTTTTTGCCTTCCCCTGTTGGAAGACGGTTTTTCTTTGATCATCAGTAGGAAGATGTGGGAGAGCTTCAGGAGTTCAGATGCACTTAGTGTGGTCCCTGGAGTGTTTTTGTTTTTATGCTTTGGGTTTTTTTTATAGAGGGAGGGGGAGGGGCAGAGTGAGAATCCCAAGCAGGCTCCACGCCCAGTGCAGAGCACCACATGGGCAGGGTGGAGGCGCTCCATCTCACAACCCTGAGATCATGACCCAAGCCAAAATCAAGAGTCACTTAACCGAGTGAGCCTCCCAGATGCCCCAGCCCTCTGGAGTTTTATATTCAGGCTTGTCTCTATGGAGCCTCCAACCTTTCGTCAATCAATGATCAGGTTTTTCTGCCTCAGTACTGGTTCACAGAGATTTCTGCCCTGGCAAGTTGTGATTATAATGGTCTGTCTGTCTCCCCTATTTGGAGCAGTGACCTCACTTCTCTGACAGATCTAAAAATTGTTGATTTTTCAGTTTGTTTGGCTTTTTATTTGTTGTTAAGACCCAGTGATCCCTGAGACCTGTGTGACCTTGCCCTGCCACCTCTGATGTTCTCCCAGCGGTGGAGTCTGACGCCAGAGCCCATGAGCCAAACTGTGGGCTGAAATGAGTTTATCTCGTTGTTGGGATGATCACTCCCTGGGCTGAAGGCAGATGCTCAACCACTGAGTCCCCCAGGCATCCCCAAAGGCTTTCTTAATTAGAACTGGTAATTCTAACCCTTGATGATGGTACCAACTTTTAAATTTACTCAGAATAAAGCAACAGATAAAGACTATGGGATAGCCTGTGTTTTCTGCTCCAACTTAAGAGAAATGGGGCATGAGGTGTATGTTTTTAAGAAAATCTGGAATAAATTTAATGAAACCTCTCCTTACAGTCAGTATAGATCATTCACTTGGCAAACATTTATGGAACACCAGCTATTTATAGGATAATAAGTACTGAGGGTACAAAACTAATAACATCTGTTATTTTTATTTTTTTTTATTTTATTTATTTATTTATTTATTTATTTACGATAGTCATACAGAGAGAGAGAGAGGGGCAGAGACACAGGCAGAGGGAGAAGCAGGCTCCATGCACCGGGAGCCCGACGTGGGACCCGATCCCGGGTCTCCAGGATCGCGCCCCGGGCCAAAGGCAGGCGCCAAACCGCTGCGCCACCCAGGGATCCCAATAACATCTGTTATTTTTATTGCAATGTAAGGCATGGCTGGCTGGGCATGTCAAGCAGCAGATGTGTGAGTGCTCTGGTAGAGGTGTGGACAAGGTGCAGTAGTATAATAATAGCTGGTTCATAAAAAATCTGTTACCAGCCTGTCTAGCTTTAACTTATGAATCCTTAAGGATCCTATGAACTTATGCTGTGTCAGGCAAATCCTGTTGGTTTTCCTTCATGCTAATTCCCCTATTCATCCATTTTTCTCCTAAGTGGTCTCCTTGCAACCTTGTGCCTCTTCCATACATTTAGTGCACCAAACAGAAGGATATTTTTAAAATGTAAATCAGAACAAGGTACTTTAAAAAAAGATTTATTTATTTATTTATTTATTTATTTATTTATTTATTTATTATATTTAAGAGAGAGAGGCAGGACAAGGGCAGGCACAAGCAGAGGAAAAGGGAGAAGCAGACCCCCTCACTGAGCACAGAGCCTGACTTGGTGCTCAATCCCAGGACCCTGAGATCATGACCTGAGCCAAAGGCAGGTGCTTAACTAACTGAGCCACCACGGTGCCTCTAGACCAAGATACTCTTAAAACTGTCCAGTGGTTTATCAGCACATTAGAATAGAAGTTAAACTCCTTGCCAGGGGCAGCCCAGGTGGCTCAGCGGTTTAGCGCCACCTTCAGCCCAGGGCGTGATCCTGTAGACCCGGGATCGAGTCCCACGTCAGGGTCAGGCTCCTTACTTGGAGCCTGCTTCTCCCTCTGCCTGTGTCTCTGCTTCTCTCTCTGTGTGACTCTCATGAACGAATAAATAAAGTCTTTAAAATAAAATAAGATAAACTTGCCAGGGATCCCGAGACCTGTGTGACCTTGCCCTGCCACCTCTGATGTTCTCTCAAAACTCACACACCCTTATTCATTGCAGTACAGCGCACTGCCTTTTCTCCTGTTCTTGAAGACACGTTTTTCTGAGCAATCGGGCCGTTGCGATCACTCTGCCTGCAAATCTTCAGCTAGCTATCGTTCAGATTTCAAATTAAAAGCAGTTCCTCAGTCTGGCTTTTTCTGATGGTTCAGTCTAAAACTGTTTTCCTTCCTCTGTCTCCCCTACTGTAGCGGTAGCTCCCGGAAGGCGAGGACTTTCGCCCTCTTGTTCATCAGGGATCCCTACGGCCCAGTAACTGCATACATACACTAGCTGCTCAGGAAATACTGGTTGAATGAATGTATGACTTTTGGTATGATTTGCCTTTAAAGAAACCTTTCCCCTGTATCTGGTCTCCACTCACTGCTTAGTTTGCGTGGCACATTTCTTTAAGATTTTTATTTACTTATTCATGAGACAGAGAGAGAGAGAGAGAGAGAGAGAGAGAGAGAGAGAGAGAGAGAGGCAGAGACAGAAGCAGGCTCCATGCAGGGAGCCCGACGCGGGACCGATCCTGGGGCCGCGGGGTCACGCCCTGAGCCCAAGGCAGAGGCTCAACCGCTGATCCAGCCTGCCTCGCACCTTCCTGCATCGCGCACCGCGGGCGGGCGTAGGGCAGGTCCCGGCAGGTCCCGGCAGGTCCCGGCAGGTCCCGGGGGCGGAGTCGATACGTACTTGCTGAGCGAGAATCCTAAAACCCGGAGTGGAGAGAATCGTTGCTGTAACACAACAAGCAAGGGACCGTGAAAGCCCCGGAGAAACCGAGATCAGGAGAGGGCCGGTCTCCGCCGCAAGCCAGGGGTCGTTGCGTGTGGACCCGGGCTTTGGCAGGACAGCCTCTTGGCGTGGCCGGGGGGGGGGGGGCGAATCTAGTGGGCCCCTCGCGGAATCTAAGAGAGACACTGCCCCTGACAACAAGTTGTACTGGGTACCCAGCGGATTACCAGCGTCCAGCCAACGCTCGCTGATTCTCCTCACAATTTCCGGGACGCATCAGATTGACCGTAGGCTCCCGTCCTTCCTCAGCGCTCACGAACTACACTTCCCAGCATGCGTCGGAACGACGGCGGCCGGGAGGTTCGCGGGCCGACTACATCTCCCGGCATGCCGTGTGTCGGCGCCCGTGCGACGCGCTCCAGCGGCCGGGCGAGGGCCTATCAGGGGCGGGCGGCGCGGCGGGCGCGGCGGGCGCCGGGGCCGGTTTGACGGAAGGAGCGGCGGCAGAGGATGGAGGCGGTGGTGTTCGTCTTCTCTCTCCTCGACTGTTGCGCGCTCATCTTCCTCTCGGTGTACTTCGTATCCTTGCCTGAGGCGGGCGGAGGCCGGCCGGGCCCGGCGCCCGGGGAATGGGGCTGAGGCGGGGCCGGGCAGGTGCGCGGGGGCACGGGCGGCCCGGCCGGGAGCGGGGCGGCGAGCCGGGCGGGAGGACGGCCTCGCAGGGGAGGGCCGGGCCTGGGAGGCCGCCGCCGCCGCCGCCGCCGCCGCCGCGCACCGGCCCGGCCCTGAGCGGCAGAGCGGCGGGCCTCCCTGGCGGGCCTCCCTGGCGGGCCGCGGGGACCTCTGCGTCCGGGCGCCCGGTGAGCGGCCGCCACGGGCCGCCTGTGGTCGCTGGGGGCGACAGTCGCCGCCGCCCTTGTCCGAGCGCCGCGGGGACCTCGGGAGGCCTTGGCGGCCGGGCCCAGCCTGGGACGCGGGCGAAGTGCGGGGCGGGCGGGGCGTGCAGGGGGGCCTGCGGGGGGAGGGGCCCTGTGCCGGGGCGGCGGGGCGTGCAGGGGGGCCTGCGGGGGGAGGGGCCTGTGCTGGGGGGGCGGAGCATGCAGAGGGGCCTGTGCTGGGGGGGCGGAGCATGCAGAGGGGCCTGAGGGGGGAGCAGCCCTGTGCTGGGGGGGCGGGGCGTGCAGGGGGGCCTGCGGGGGGAGGGGCCCTGTGCTGGGGGGGCGGGGCGTGCAGGGGGGCCTGCGGGGGGAGCGGCCCTGTGCTGGGGGGGCGGGGCGTGCAGGGGGTCCTGCGGGGGGAGCGGCCCTGTGCTGGGGGGGCGGGGCGTGCAGGGGGGCCTGCGGGGGGAGCGGCCCTGTGTTGGGGGGGCGGGGCGTGCAGGGGGGCCTGCGGGGGGAGGGGCCCTGTGCCGGGGGGGGGGGCGGGGCGTGCAGGGGGGCCTGTGGGGGGAGGGGCCTGTGCTGGGGGGGCGGAGCATGCAGAGGGGCCTGAGGGGGGAGCGGCCCTGTGCTGGGGGGGCGGGGCGTGGAGGGGGGCCTGCGGGGGGAGGGGCCCTGTGCTGGGGGGCGGGGCGTGCAGGGGGGCCTGCGGGGGGGAGCGGCCCTGTGCTGGGGGGGCGGGGCGTGCAGGGGGGCCTGCGGGGGGAGGGGCCCTGTGCTGGGGGGGCGGGGCGTGCAGGGGGGCCTGCGGGGGGGGGAGCGGCCCTGTGCTGGGGGGGCGGGGCGTGCAGGGCGGCCTGCGGGGGAAGCAGCCCTGTGCTGGGGGGGTTCCAAAGCAGCGCCCTGTGGAAAACTTGTTCCGGTGCTGGTCCCCAGACTGGTGTCCAGGACGGTGCGTGATGGTTGGACCCGCACTCTGCTCTCATCCAGTCTTAGTCGCCATGCACCATCCAGTTGAAGTCATTAAAATGTTCGAACACCTGCGAGCTGTATCGTTTTTTTATGGAATTTATGTGCAACATGTGCTTTGTGATCGAAGTCAACGTTTTGTTGGCCAGCGTGCCCCGGCATAGGGTAGTTGTAGCCTGTGCAGCCAGCATGACCTTGTATTGTGGAGTTTGCAGTCAGGACGCCTTACTTTTTCACATTTACTGTCCACAGTACTGTGCACGGATCTCAGCCTCAGTTCTTGTCTTTATGATGGGACATGTTTCCTTCTCAGCTCTGGGTGTGCACAGCCAGAGCGTGGGTTCAGCACCCAGCGCCCTGCCTGCCTCTCCTGCCCCAGTTCAGCTGCACTTGCCGCCCTGCACTCATGAGTTATAGTGGGGAGAACCTTGAGTTGATTATGTTTTGTGTTTTAAGATTTTATTATATACTCCAAGCTGGGGCTGGAATTCACAACGGCCGGATGAAGACTCATGTGCTGTGCCTGCAGAGCCAGTCAGTCCAGGGAGGACTTTGGGTTTTATTAGGTTTGGAACTGACTGAACTAGCAGAATCATGGGCCTAAGTTTTGACGACGTGTGTCCTTCCCATGACTGGCACTGTAAGGAACTGGGATTTACAGAGAAATGAAAGATTTCTGTATTTGCACTTTGGAAAACTAGGCTTGATCATTTGAAATAGCCATGGACTTTACCAGTTTATTATGTACATAGGAAAACATTAGGTGGAATATTTGACTTAAACATTCAGGTATGTTTAGGGTGTGCTTTGATGAAATTCAGCATGTTGTATTACAGTATTTTTGGATAGTTGTACTAGCTTAGTATTAGAGGGAAGAGGTAGAAAGTGGTCAGGGTAGAGGTTCTGTAGGGTTAGAGGTTTTCGTGGACTTTGTACCACGAAGAATATGCACAGAAGGAAAGGGTGGATATTCAAAATCAGGCAGGAGCAAAGGTGAAGAGTTTATGGCATTTCTGGACTATCTGGAGGGCATGCTTGATTTTGGTGGTAGAAGGTCTGGTGGGAAAGGCTGGATCAGCCAGTTTTGAAGGGCTTCTGATTTCTAAGGCAGGGAGGGCTTTCACTTTTATCCTCTAGGCTATAGGGAACTGTTGAACATATTTGACACAGATGGTGTTTTAGGGAGCTGAAACTGCAGAGTAGGTTGGAAATGCGAAAACTGGAAGGCAGACCATTGGGGAATGGGCCCATGTGGGTTTGCAACACTGCCGACTGTGAGCAAGTGAAAGGAGGGACTAACTGGAGAATGAGGAGGAAGGGATTGCCCCAACCTGCTGATGACTGGTTGTGGGCTATGAAACAGAAGACAAATAATTTGAGTCATGTTTTGAGCCTGGGCAAATGGTGGTTGTGTCATCGACAAGAGAGAAAACACATTTGGCAGTGAAACAATTTGTGAAGAAAGTGATGAGTTTGACTTAATTGTGTTGAGGTGTTAGGGGTAATGTCCATATGGAAATGTTTAGAATTTAGGTGAGAACATTTATTTTTACTTGTTTCAGTGGACATTTTCAAGTATAAAATCAGACAGTGTAATGTAAAAAACCCTGTGTTTCTTTTGCTCACAAATGCACTATACCAGCGTTTTGCTTTGTCCTTTCCTGGGGCAGAAGGGCGGAGGGAGGGTGATGGTGGAGCATTTTACGCAAATCTCTCTCGGGCGTTGTATCAATAGTATCATTCGGTTGAGCACTTTTCCTTCTGTTTCTGTCTGCTCTCATGTTTTTATGAGTTTACATTTGATACTGAATACCGTTTTTTGCTTAATTCTAATATAAAGTATGTTTAATGTGGAAGGTTTCGGAAATAGAGAAAAATATTAGGAAGACAGATCATTTGTCAGGAGACATAACCAGTGCTAACATAGTACCATACTGTATGGACAATTTTGTATCTTTTCTTTTTTCACACCTGGAATCTTCAAAGACATTTTATGGATCTATCATAAATTAACACTATTTTCCTACTTTGGTAATTTAGGTTTTCATATTTAAATTGTCTTCAGAGGTCTCATTTTCCACACTGTTTGACTTTTAAGGAACTCCAGTTGAATGTTCTCATATGGGTCACTTTAGAATTGAGCATAAGATTATTTTGGGAAAATAATTTGGTGAAGGAATATAATGAGAATATTTAGTTGTCTAATGAGTGAACTTTACGGAAATAAATTTTTTCAAGTCAAATCTAATTCTGCGTTGCAGTTGGGTTTCTTTCTAAACTTAAAAATGGTTGTTTTAAAAGAAATCTTATAATTCCTTATCTTGATCCTCAGATAATTACATTGTCTGATTTAGAATGTGATTACATTAATGCTAGATCATGTTGCTCAAAATTAAACAAGGTAAGACATTTCTTTACTTATTTTCTGGCACTGAAGGTGGTTCTCCATTTTCTGCGTTACAGATTATTCTAGATAAACCAGCACATGTATATTTGATTTTAAAGTACATATTGCTTCTCATTTTTTGGAATGTCTGTAGAGCTACTGTGTTTTTGCAGTACTTTAGATCCTGTAGAAGAACTTGCTGGAAATTTTGTTTCTTTACTGTGTTTCTTTCTTGAACCTATGCCCATCAGAACTTTATGAGGGAAAGGCTCGTTATCATTATGAGGGTAATTGTATTTACCATCCTCCTGCCCATGATCAAAAAGCTTAGTCTGGTTTTTGTTAACATAAAAGATGATGTTTTTTTTTTCGTGGGTTACTGAGAAGTGGAATTAATGAGTTGATCTGTTTCAAGGTCATTTTACCTTTGGTATATAGTCAGATCTTTATGTTGGCAAGAATATTCTGAGTTGCAGGGTTTGTCTAGAAATAGGGAACAAGGGAACACAGTCCTGATTCACTTTATGGGCTGCGTAGACAGAAGAGCTTTCTGGATAAAAGTTCATATAACAATTTAGTAAATACTGAGAAGTGCTTTGGGCTTGACCTAAAAATTATTCCCATGTGTCTTTTCACCTCTTCATCTACTTAGGTCTCTCTGGCCCAAGAGGGAAAAAGCCACACATGGAAAATTAAAATTTCTAGTAAACAATACTCCTCCTCCTCTTGTTTTCTTTATTTTGAATTTTCTAGAATGTGGTTTAATACAATGATAGCTCTAAATAAAAGATTTTGTAGTTATCTGCCATACTTTAAGACTTTTTAAGACACTGAGATGTAATCTATATTGTATTGGTTTCAGGCCTCCTCATCTTCCAAAGAATGGTTATATATATTTACCAGCTGGGTTGTATTTCTGTTTATATTTCTTGCTTACTTAATATTTTAGGGGGGCATTTAAGTGGCTTTTCTTTTATAAAAAATAGAAATGGAAATAGAAGATTACCTAGATTCTTCTTTTGAGAAAGTTACTCCTTCAGTTTGAACTTAAGTCTTTTTTTAATGTTAATTTTTACTTTTGTGAAGGTAATACTTGCACACAACTACAGTCAAAGTTTCTACAAAGCTTACACTGAAAACCAGATCCCTTCCTGATCACTCTGATTCCGACCTGTCATACTTTTTGGGGTCAGCTGACTTCCATACTTGAGCCGTTAATTTTTTTTTCTGATGTTTATATCCATATATTCTTTTATATGCCCATATTGCTGTTTCTTGTTTTATCAGTTTTAAATGTCATCTATTGCTTTATGAGTCACTATGACAAGATTTCGTTCTTAGATACCCCCTTCCCTAAACATTTTCTTTTTTGAGTTAAATTGATATTCAGTGTTTATATTGTTACAATATACTGTTATGATAATATACTAAATATTTTTTATTACTGAGTCTCATAGTAGACAGTGATCATATTTTTCTTTCTTTGCTGTTTTTCTGGATAGCTTTCTCTTTCCCAGTGTTAATAATTGCTACATTTAAAAAATTTCCTTGGGCAGCCCCGGTGGCGCCGCCTGCAGCCCAGGGCGTGATCCTGGAGACCCCGGATCAAGTCCCACGTTGTGCTCTCTGCATGGTGCCTGCTTCTCCCTCTGCCTGTGTGTCTGCCTCTCTCTTGCTCTCTCTCTCTCTCAATGTGTATCTCTATGAATAAATAAATAAAATCTTAAAAAAATAATATAAAAATTAAAAATTTCTTTAGTTTTCACTTACCTGTTATGAAATCTTTTCAGATACACCTTTAAAGCTTTTCAGTGTGCTATTTTCTCCATGGGAAACATTAAAATAACCTATCAGGTGAGCTCTTTTCCAGGTTACCTTTCTCCTTGAGATCACTGTCAATCTTGCTGTGCTCTGGACTCACCGCTTCCAGGCCGATCCCACAGCTCACATCCTGGGACCCTTGGAAGTCATGTTGTCCTTTCTTCTGGCCTCCTGCTCCGTTTTGCTGGAGTAGATTCTTGAGATACATTACATGGGGACCAAATTTGGAGGCCTTGCCGTGTTTGGGAATGTCTTGTCCTTACTCTAGAGAGAGAGTTTCTCTGAGTGTAGCGGTTCTGGATAGCAAAGATTCTCTTTCAGAGTTTGAAAGATATTGGTCAGTGGTCTTCTGACATCCAGTGTTCGCATCAGGCAAGATGATGCTGTTTTGATTTCTTATCCTTTCATGTGCATCCTTCCCCCAGCCCCCATCTTTTTTCCCCTAATCCTCTCCAGAAGTTTTAGAATCTTTTATCCTTGGTGTTTGGGAATTTTGCAGTGGTAAACCTTTGTGTACCTTTGTGGAGGCCCGTTTCATGCACTGTTTCAGCCATCTGCTGACTCTTTTGGCCTGTGAGTTCCGTTCTTTCTTTGATAAAATCAACCCCCCTTTCTCTTTCAACAACTTTCACACTCTGGATAATTCATCTGCTGGATTATCTGCCTGTTCTTTTTTAAAAATTTTTATGCTTTCAATTTTTTCCTTTTTGTTTCAAAATTTCCTCCATACCTTTTTTTTTTAAGATTTTATTTATTTATTTATGAGAGACACAGAGAGAGGCAGAGAGACAGGCAGAGGGAGAAGCAGGCTCCGTGCAGGGAGCCCAACGTGGGATTCGATCCCGGGTCTCTAGGATCACCCCTGGGCTGAAGGCAGGCGCTTAACTGCTGAGCCACCCAGGCATCCCTCCTCCACACCCTCTTCTGATTCCCTAGTGTGCACACCATTTACATCAAGTTTTAGTTTCTAAGAGCTTGTTTTCTTGGCTCAAGTTTGAGTTTCTTAGCTGAGAATCTTGATTACAGTAGTTTTGAAATTTCCGTCTACTCCCTACATTATATCTGTTCCCTCCAAGCTTCTTTCCCTTTGTGTTTTTCCCTTTCATATTGGAGGCTTTCCTCAATTTCTGGTACATGGCTGTCTGTCCATCTGGCCGTCTTTTTTTTTTTTTTTTAAAGATTTTATTCATTCATTCATGAGAGACAGAGAGAGAGAGAGAGAGAGAGAGAGAGAGAGAGAGGCAGAGACACAGGCAGAGGGAGAAGCAGGCTCCATGCAGGGAGCCGATGTGGGAATTGATCCTGGGACTCCATGATCATGCCTTGGGCCAAAGGCAGGCGCCAAACCGCTGAGCCACCCAGGGATCCCCCCTCATCTGGCCGTCCTTAAGGGTAAATCACTGAAATACTTGCTGGAGGCTTCATGCATGGTCCAGGCTGTTGACCGACTGATTGGTAGATAGACTTCACTATAGGGCTGCTGGGGTGCCTGGAAGCCAGTTGTTCTGTAGGCATTCTCTCTTGTGCCATCAAGTTACTCCACAGCAGAATGTTCCAGGCTCCAGCTGGGGGCTACAAGCCTAGTGCTGGTATTCCGAGAGCGAGTTAGGAAAAGAACATATAACTAAAGAGGGAAGAGAATGGAAACATAGGGTTTGGTTGAACATCAGTAAGGCAAGCCTAATAATGTTAAGTCTCCCTTCCTAAAACTTTTGCTTCCAGTCTGTGTCAGTGTAAAACAAGGTAAGAAAGTTCGAAAGCTACTGCTCTGTGGGTGGAGGGACCCTGGTGGCAGTGACCTCCCTGCCGCTTCCAGAGTGCTTGCTCTGCCTGTGGCTCACCCATGCTGTTCCTCTAACTCTGTACAACAGGGATCATCATCTCCATTTTACAGATGAGAGAATCACAGCTCAGGGTAGATGACCTTTCCTAAGATTGCTAAACTGATCTGTTGAATAGAGCAGGAATTCCAGTCCAGGTTTGACTCTGCAACTCACATGTGTCAGCATTATACTGTCTTGGTTAGACTTTTAAAAATCCGTATTACATACTGCAAAGTTCCAGTTGATTGCAAGTTAGGTTTAGCAAATCCCTTCTTTGTTCTAAAAATGACTCTAAAATCTAAATGTGAGAGCCCTGGGGCCAGTGTGTTTGGGTTTATACCATATTTTTCCACCAGGAAGTAGCTTTGTGACCTTGGGCAAATTACTTAACCTCTCTGAGTGTTTCTAGTTTCTGCAAGTGGGGATTGCCAATTTGTATCTGCATAAGTATTACTATTAACTTCCTTTAAAAGAAAAGTCTAGGGTAGCCCGGGTGGCTCAGGTTTAGCACTGCCTTCAGCCCAGGGTGTGATCCTGGGGACCTGGGATCAAGTCCCACGTCGGGCTCCCTGCATGGAGCCTGCTTCTCCCTCTGCCTGTCTCTCTGCCTCTCTCTGTATCTCTCATGAATAAATAAATAAAATCTTAAAAAAAAAAAAGTCTCTACTCAGAGGAAGGTTATTGGTAAAGGGAGGACCTGCTGTAATAGTTCTTGGTCATGAGAACTAGAATATTGGCCAGTTAACAGAGCACACAGAGGGCAGTGCATGCTGTAGAGCCAGTAGGCTGGTGTTCTGGTACCCTGGTTCATTACCGTATTTGTTCAACTTTGAGTTGTTAATGTAAGCTGCTAAAGTATTTGTGTGTGTGTGTGTGTGTGTGTGTGTGTGTGTGTGTGAGTGTGTAAATGCGAATGTGAAGTGATTTCTCTCAGGATTCTGGAGATTGGAAAATGTTTAAGATTGATATTCTGACTTGCATGCAAGGCAGTGTATATTTGAATATAAACTACACCAAATTAGGGGCACCTGGGTGGTTCAGTGGTGGAGCGTTTGCCTTTGGCTCGGGTTGTAATCCCGGGGTCCTGAGATCGAGTCCCACATTGGGCTCCCTGCAGGAAGCCTGCTTCTCCCTCTGTGTTTCTGCTCTGTCTCGTGAATAAATAAATAAAATCTAAAAAAAAAAAAAATTAGAGTAAGAGGCTTTAGTACAGACACTGGACTAGAAAGTAAATGATACTCCACCCCCCCCCCCCGCCCCGTGTCATTCATACCTTCTTCGTGGATGAATCTGCACCTTTGCTTAGGATAAAACATCATTGAAATTTAAGGGCATTATTTTTAAGCTGTGCCCTGCAGTACTTGCGTGGGGTAAGCAGTTACAGCAGTATATAGATCTGGGTCATCCGAGTCTAAAAATAATCTTGAAACATGAGCTTGTAAATTCTCGGTGTATTCATTGATTTAGCTTCAGATAACCCACAAATCCTGGAAGAACACAATAGGGAGATGTAATACTGTGTTCCCCCCTTATAGTGGGTGATCCCAGAATTGATCGGCCACACCGTCATCACTGTACTCATGCTCGTCTCACTGCACTGGTTCATCTTCCTCCTCAACTTGCCTGCTGCCACCTGGAATATATATCGGTGAGTGTAGTCTATTCACTGCATCACAGCAGTTTAAAGAAAAATTTTTAAAAATTTAATAGCTTTTTCTTCTGCAATAAAATATGTGCCAGTCATGGAATAAATGACCACAGAGTGCTACACTAAATCAATATACATTTTTGTTTACTTTGGTGTACCAGGCAAGCAGCAGTGTGCTTGGCCCCACTCTTGTGGCAGAAACACAGTTACATATGTAAAATTAAGAAATATGGAATGTTTAGTTGTGATGTCTAAGAACTTGTGTGTTTTCCTGTAAGAATGATAAAAAGTCCAAGAATATATAATTCTTGTTATTTATATCTGCAGATTTTAATTAGAGTATACTTGGAACGCTCCAGAGAGAATTTCATTTTAAAGTCTGTAGACTGGATAACATCAGAATTAACTGATGTAGTGCCGAACTTAACTGGAGTAGGGCACTTGCACAATATACATTTTCTTTTGAAGAACTTTGGGATCATCTTGACAAACCTGGGATGATTTTTAGTGTGCTACTCTTCTGCTAAGTTTTCGTTTTTTTTTAAATTTTACTTTTATCTAGGTTTTTTTGGGGGGGGGTAAAATCATTCATCAGCTGATCTTTATATGTGATTTTTAATTTTTTAAAAATATTTATTCATGCGAGAAACACAGAGGCAGAGACATAGGCAGAGGGAGAAGCAGGCTCCCCATAGGGACCCCGATGTGCAACTCAATCCCAGGACTCCAGGATCACGACCCGAGCCAAAGGTAGATGCTCAACCACTGAGCCACCTGATTTTTAATTTTTTTAAGGTTTATTTATTAATTTTATTTTTAGTAATTTCTGCAACTAATGTAGGGCTCAAACTCACCACCCAAGATCAGGAGTCACATGCTTTTTCTACTGAGCCAGCCCGGCACCCCATACATGTGCTTTTTTAAAAGTGCAGTTAGGATAAGGAGGACAGGGGCACATGGCTGGCTCAGCGGTTGAGCATCTGCCTTGGGCTCAGGTTGTGATCCCGGGGTCCTAGAATCAAATCTTGCATTAGGCTCCCTGCAGGGAGCCTGCTTCTCCCTCTGCCTGTGTCTCTGTCTCTGCCTCACTCTGTCTTTCTCATGAATAAATAAATCTTAAAAAAAAAAAAAAGGCTAAGACAAAAGAATAAAGGAGGGGTGGGGAGAGGCTTGGAGCACGTGTGATGGAATGCCATGAGGATGAGGAAGTGTGAGTGGGTTTGGGGGAATGAATTTATATATAAAGATTGTGAGATGAGAACCTGAGCTAGGGAAGAGATTTGAAATCTCTATACCTTTTTCCCAGAGGGAAAGAATCACTTTTTGTTTTCCTTTTCTTGTTGCTCTCCCATGGTCATCCTTAGACCAACACCCTGACCTGAGCTCAGCTAGCAGCACGGGGCCCTGACCCATCTGTGGTGCCATCTCACATAGACCTTGAGCCCTGCTCGGTATCCCTGTGGTCCTAGTGAGCAGAACATGAATGTGGGAGTGAGCATGGGAACATCTGAGGCTGGATCTTAGCGATACCCGAGAGCACACCATCCTCCTTCCACAGGATCCGAGCATGTGCCAGAGGAAGAGTGGGCTTGGCCATGTCTCCCGTGTACATAGTACAGACTGTAGTGGGAGGCTCTCATTTTACTGGAGGGACGACAAAGTCCACAGATCGTTTCCTGTAACCACAGAGATCATGTGGGTTTATTACCCTGATGATGGCAGTGACTGCTGAAAACAAATTTACCTTTTCTTCAAAAAGGTTAAATCAACAGATGGATCCTTTCTTCTCTTCAGATGTCTGTACCTTATGCTCTTGGGGATGCAGACATCTGAAGTGGACTCTTCCTCAGGACAGAGGCAATCACAAGACAAGTTGCTTCCCGAAGAGGCAGGCAGAGGTGCCTGATGAGTGATGAGACCCTGTTTGGGAGGAGACCGTGTGGGTGTGCCCTGGGACCCTCTCCAGAAGTGGGTGTGGGAGCGGAGCCGGCAGGATGGGTGAGGCATGATGGGTGGGGGAGCGGGCTGAGATGCAGAGGCATGTGTAAGGACTGGACAGGTGGCAGCCACATAGATGAGGGAGTTGTCAGAGAGTCTGAAACATTTGTCCAAGGAGTTTATGTATAAATGTGAGTACCCGGAGCACAAAGTTCACCTGTTGAAAGTATTCTCTTAAAGGTTTTTAGTATATTTATAGGCTTGAGCAACCATTGTCACAGTGTATTTAATTTAGCACAGGGTCTTCACCCCAGAAGAAAGCCCTACACCGTCTGGCAGCCTCCTTGTCCTGCCCTCCTCTCCTCTGGCCTCAGGCACCCAGCAGTCTACTTTGTGTCTCATATGATGACCTGTTCTGTACAGATGCGTCCTATGGAGCGCTCAGTATGGGCTCTGTTGTGACTGGCTTTTTTTACTCAGCATTATGTTTTCAAGGTTCTTCCATGGGTGGCAGGTGGTGGTTTTTCACCCTGTCCACTGTATGGACAGAACACATCTTGTCCGTTTGCAGTTGATGGACATTGGAATTGTCTATTTTTTGGCTATTGGGAATAGTTCTGTGAACACTCGTGTGCATTTTTTTTGCGTGGACGTTACGTTTCCATTTTTCCTGGGGGTGGAATTGCTGGGTCATATGTTACCTTTATGTTAACCTTTGAAAGAACCACTTAGGTGTTTGAAAGTACCAGTTCCCATTCCTGCCAGCTATGTGCCAGGGTTCCAGTTTCTCCATATCCTCCCCAACACCTGTTGTTGTGTGTCTTTCTTTTTTAGATTTATTTTTGTTTAAGTCATCTCTGTGCCCAGCATGGGCCTTCAACTCAGGACGCTGAGATCAAAAGTCGCATGCCCTTCCAGTTGAGCCAGCCAGGTGCTCCTGTGTCTTTTTATTTTAGCCATCCTGCTGGGTGACATGTTTTACTGTGGTTTTGATTTACATTTCCCTAATGGCTAAGGAAATCGAGGACCTTTTAATGTATCACCATTGGTCTGTATGTTTTTGAGTAGCTAAGTTGATAAAGTCAAGTATCTTTGGAAAGATTTTTCTGAAAGCCTTGTGTAGTACGGATTGGATTGTGGAGAAGAGCCAGGAGGTAGGGAGGCTCGTTCAGAGATGGGGGTGAGCTGGGGGCACTGCACTGAGTTTGGGATGCAGGAATGCAGAGACCTCCGTGGAAGTGGCACTAGGTGGGAAGGTGGCCTGTGAAGGGTACAGAAGAGATAGACGTCTGGAAGGAGCCCCAGGCAAATGGTGACAGTGCTGTTGGGTTTCCTGGGAGTCACTGGAGGATAAACCTCTTAGCAGAGATGGGGCTGAGATGTTGTCTAGACCCTCCAGTCAGCTCTGGATGGGCTGCAGGGCTGGGAGGAGAGTTTGAGATTTGTGGAACTCTGGGGGCACTTATGTCTCGCTGAAGTCATTGTTGATAAAGTGTGTATGTGGCAGGAAGGGGTCGAGGGTGGCATGAGGTTGGACACGTTGTTGGACTAGTGGGAGTGGCACTGTCTGGAGGTTGCAGTGCAGGTACTTTGCAGTGGAGTACCCTTCCAAGTGATCCGATCTCCTCACTTGTTAAAGGGCATCAATTTGGAAAGGAGACTGTTTTGTGTCACTATTACATGCAGAGTGACATGAAATAAATACGAAAGTCTAAAAGACTCCTCAGCATGTTGAACGTAGTGTCAAGATGCTTTTTAAAAAATGGGACCGTCTTCTGAGTGTGTGGGAACGCTGGGTTGGACTGGTGCAGAGTTAGAGCTAGCTGCCGGCTTGCTGTGCCCTTTCTCTTTGGCTCTGATCTGTGGGCCCTGTTCCTCATGTCCCATGGTGGTTGGGCCTCCACCACTATAAAAAGAACATTTCTGGGTTGTTGGAATATTATAACTTAACCTCTGGCACTTGGCCTGTTTTTGTAAGAGTCACATAAAGCTAGATGTTGCACTTTGAGTCTTAACAGTCTCCTAACTGAATTTTGCTTTTACTGTGGTGGCACTTAGGCTAAATCATTCCCATTCTCTTGTCTATAATTGTGCCTATGAGCCGGGATCCATTGACGCACCTGTAGACAAAGGTGTGTTCTCTCTGGATCAACAGGAGCACCACCAATGAGTGTTCCAATCGGACATAGAATGTCTTTCACTGTCTTCTGTGAAATGGGGATAAATATGTTTGATGCTACTCCTTATAAATATGTTGCATTAAGGAGTGCCTGTGGAGCTCAGTAGATTGAGTGTCTGACTCTTGGTTTTTATCTCATGACCTCAGGGTCCTGGGATCGAGCCCTGTGTCAGGCTCCGTGCTCAATGGGGAGTCTGCTTCTCCCTCTCCCCCTGCTTGCTTATGTTCTCTCTCTCTCGAATAAATGAATGAATAAATCCTTAAAAAATATGTTACATTAATTATTTTAGAAGTTTCTAGATAAAGAAGTTTTTAAGAACTTGATAAAATTGGTTTGGTTTGGGGACGCCTGGGTGGCTCAGTGTTTGGTCATCTACCTTCGTCTCAGAGTGTGTGTGATCTTGGGGTCCTGGGATCGAATCCCACATTGGGCTCCCTACAGGGGAGCCTGTGTCTCTGCCTCTATATGTGTTTCTCATGAATAAATAAATAAAATCTTTAAAAACAAATTGGTTTGGTTTGGAGTCCCTTGTGTCAGGTGGAAGATGGCTGCAGGTATGACCAGTTTAGTTTTGTACAGATGGGTAAAAGGGTCTTGATGCACAGAATACCCTTCTCTAGAGTATCTCTGTCTTTGTTTCAGGGGGTGGAGAATTACAGCACAAATTAACAAGTGTTGTGTCTTTCGAAGAAAACCACATGGTGGCCTGTGACATTGTTGTGCTACGCTGTCCATATCTGGTCTGACTTGAAGACTGCTGATTGGTTCACTTTTAAAGGTTGGCTGTTACTGGGTACGTTTGAATATTTATACTGATTATATTCTCCTTTTAACATGTGCATACCAGGTTCATTATGGTGCCGAGTGGGAACATGGGAGTGTTTGATCCCACGGAGATCCACAACCGGGGGCAGCTGAAGTCACACATGAAGGAAGCCATGATCAAGCTTGGCTTCCACCTGCTGTGTTTCTTCATGTATCTTTATAGGTGAGTTCGTGGCTCTCATGGTATTGCCCTATATACGAGGACCACTCTGGGCGGGTGACATGCTCCCGGCCGGTAAGACTTTGCATTGGTGATGCAGAGCTTCGGGGGATCCTGCGGAGTTCTTGTGGCTGTGTGCATTTTGTACGTGTCACCGCATCTGCGTGCCGCATGACCTCCAGGAGCTGCTCTGTGGCGTCCTTACTCCCTGGCTCAGGCCGTCCATGTGCTCCACACCGGGTGCTTTGTCTTCCTTCCCCAGTGTCCAGGCCTGTCTGCCGGTCATGAGTGGTGCTGGCTGTGCTCCCAGAGAGAGGAGTTACAGAGGGGAGACGCCCATCTTCTTGAGAGAATGTTGGAGTCCATGGCATTGGGTGTTGGGCTGGGTGCCAGCCTAGTGCAGTCTATGCCCTGCCCTTTACTGTGTGACCCAGGGCTAGTTTCTTAAGCACTCTGTGCCTCAGTTTCCTCATCTGAAAATGGAATAGTAGTGCCTACCTCATTTGTTGTGATCCAGGCTCAGTGAGATGATGCACCTAAAGCACCTGGGTTTGCTGTGAGCTGTAGTTAACCCGTAAACATGTTTCAGAGGCGTTAGCTACTCTGGTTAATCTGTGCTGTGCAGGGAAGACACTTAGCGTGGTTAAATTTGGACAACCAGTGATGCCGTTAGTGGTTGTAAGAGGGTTTCTGGTCCTCTAATCTTAGCATAGCAAGGCTGACTTCAGGAAAAGGAAATAATCAATTTGCTGTTACTGGCCATGGTGGTTTTTGTAGAGTGACTGCAATACATCACACACTGTCGGGCTGCATAGGTGGCGTCTGGGGCAGCACAGAGTCCTGGCAGGAAAGTTGGGGCCTACATTGGAGACGTCCTGAGGCCTGAGCTGCCCTCCTAGCTATTGTGCGGTCTGTGCAGGGGTGTGACCCTGGGAGACGGGGAGCAAGGGTCTAGGTCTTGGGACAGCACATGCAAGGTCTGGCTAGAGAACTAATGTTTTGTTTTCTGGACATGGCTTCTTTGTTCAGAACTGTAGCCCAGCGTTGGTTTTAGGTCACCCTCCTACCCCCACCCTAGTTATTTGTTTTGTCTTGTGAAGAAAAGTAGGACCTGGAGAGGCCCCAATTAGAAATACTTTTTAAAAAAACGTGTCAGTGATTGTCTTTTATTGACATGAGTGTTCCTTGCTGAGCCTCAGAGGCACAAACCCGGATAGAGCAGACTTTGTAGGAACATTGCTAAGGAGATGCTGCTAACGCTTGTTTCTTCCTTCCCAGCATGATTTTAGCCTTGATAAACGACTGAAGCTGAGGAGCCGCGGTCCGAGTCCGCCAGCACCACAAAGCGCAGCCCAGGAGCCAGAGGCGCCGGAGATCATCCTTAGAACCGTGACCATAGCAGTATATTTTTTCCTCTTTGAACAAAAAGAAAAATATTTTTGCTGTATTTTTACCATATAAAGTATTTAAAAAACACAAATTGAGTTTTTGTAGATTTCTGGTTCTCAACTTCAGCCCGAACCCTGACACGTGTTTCTAATCATCTGTGTGTTGAAGATCATTATCCATACGTAGCAACAGGACTGCCGTGCCGGCCTCGCGTGCCAGAGAAACAAAGGACACACATCAAAGGGAAAGCCCACTAGATGCAGGAACGCACTGCGAGTGTACTGAGAAGGCAGAGCCTAGGGCCGCGCTATTAATCTGGGCAGAGGAAGAGACAGATTACCCCTTGTGGCAGCTTCGTGTATTTAATTCGGTGTAAAGATTTATGGGACTGTCAGCTAAAAGTCTTTTCGTAAGAATGTTAATAGAAAATGACATTTCAAAAAGTATATATTTCTTTGCAGATTCTGTGAAATCCTATAAGCCATTTTTCCCAGGTACAATGTAATTCCTGCTTCTAGAAAGGAAAATAAATTAAAAAAAGCACAATTTTATCAAGAATTTTCATTTAAAGCCACTGCCTCCAAAATCACCCTCAAACCCATACAACCTGCTGGCTCTTGCCAGGTCTTGATCTCGTGTTCTGTGCAACCCGTTGCACTCGGTCTCTTAGTTACATTTTTCAGTGGGTTTGGAGAGGTGATTTGATAGAAGGTGCTCATGAGATTAGAGCAGGAATAGCCAGTCACCGAGTGACCATGGAGCCTGCCACTGCCCTGCTTCTGTCCCGCCGTCTGATGTCCACTCTGACTGGGGAGACGCAGGCCAGGCCGTCCAGGCCGTGGTGCTCCGCAGCCAACTCCGTTCCCTGGGGCTGGGTCTGCTCGGGCGGTTGGCGGGAGCATCAGCCTCTCGGTCTGTGTTTGTGGGCTGAATGGCCGATCCTTTTCACTCCTACTTGGGGCCGTGCTTGCGCCGACTGAAGCCTTGGCGTCTAGGCAGGATATGGCTGTGTGACGTCGGGGCAGAAGTGGGCAGCTGAACAATGTGTGGTCACCAAGAGACCAGACGCCGCGTGCCCTTTTGGTCGGGGACCCGGTCCGGCCTGGGCAGAAGCCTGGAGGCTGCTAAGCCTGACTCCCTAGACAGACGGGCCCCGCTTGGAGCATGGCGCCTGCATACGGCAGGACAGGACAGTCAGGGACGGGGACTGCTGCTGTCGGACCCCCAGGCTCCTGAGCCCCTCATGGTTACTTGTATCCCTGATGTCTCGGGGCTGAGAAACTGTAACGTAGGATGACCAGGGGACAGCTTTCTGCCTGTAAGAGAAAAGCCCCAAACCAAACCGATCTATTGCCCGGCTTTGTTCTCATCTACGGTTTTCGCCATGTCCTGCTCAAGCTTTTAAAGCTCCAGGCTTTAAAGGACTACAGTCCTTGGAGCTGAGTGCCAGGTCCCCTCAAGCAGCTCTGAGGTGGTAGAGGGTGTGCTCTTCCCTGGGGACTCTGCCCCAGGGGGTGAGTGGAAAGTGGGTGGGTGGTGAGCCTGGGCTGTGGGGGCGCTTCTGAAACACTAACTGGTTGGAGAGGAACAGAGCCCATGCTCTCGAATCACTCGTCTGCATCAGAGCCACAGGAGGGGGTGACTAGTGTCCACACATGGTGAAAAGAGGGGAGAAGCCTGGATGAGCTGTGGTTAAGGTGCTAGGACTCGGGTGCTGTGCTCTCCCCTGAGAGGAGCACTGCACAGACCTTCCAGATCCTCCCATTTCTGCCCCTAAGAGGGAAGTGAGGCTGGAGGTGGCCTCGGAACCCCCGTCCGGCTGCGTGGGGTGCTCTGCGAGTGAGCTCTGAGTCTGGTCGCATCCTGTCCCCCGTCCCGTCTTTGTACGCTTCAGCCCCTGCTGGCACCGAGGAAGCCAGGTGGGGGCGCGCCTCCTCCCCTCCTCTGAGCCCCTGGGTGGGCAGCTCTCCTGCGTCGTGGACAAGGCGGTGGGATTCGGGGACCTGCTTCCTCTCCAGTTAGGATGCTTCCCTGGGAACTTGACTTGCTCTGGCACCTTCTGCATCTTGCCTGCCAGATCAGGAGCCTGTCCTCCCAGACTGTACGTAGCCAGCTCTCACCTCGTCAGAATGTCTGCTTCACAGATCAGGCTTGGTCCAGAAGGGGCCCCTGTGTGTGCGACCTTGAGAGGGCACCCCCTGACCCATGACGACCCCGTGCCTCACACCTCCCTCTGGTTGCCCAGGGGACCCGACCTCGTCCTGTCCGCTGCTCTGACCACATGCGTCTGGGGCAAGAGGCCAGCACTTGAGCAGGAGGGAGCTCGAGGCCTTGCTTGGTCTTCTCAGCTCAATTCATGGACATCGATCTTTTCTCGATGATGTGACATCGTCATCAAGTCTGATGGGGAAGGAACCTGCTTTGAGGGCTCCTCTTACTGCTTATCTGAACCCGTGGCCTGTGTCCCAGACAGAGGTGCGATCTGTGCAGTTGCCCTGGGTGGCCCCTGGGACACGGCCGGGCCTCCTGTGGTTCCAGGAGACATCCTAACTTTCTGGAAGGCAGTAGCAGGACTAATTGATGTTGCTTGGTAATTTTGTATCTTAGCCGCTACAGCACTGAAGTCATGGGCATGCTCGCTTCATCCCTAATCCAGCCCGACATCGACATCATCATGTCTCTAATATTGTAGTATTTTTGTACGCGGCATCTCCGTGAGATAAGGGTTCCTGAAACCAACCTGAATTCTTAGATGTTGATCCTGAGCTCCTGCAGGATGGCAGGCCTGGGCAGCCCTGACGTAACACGGCAGCCCTGGGTCCTCCCAGCTGGAAGACAAAGGCGTGAAGGAAATCTGCCTTCCCTAAACGTGGGTTTAGGATTTCGCAAGGGGCCATTAGCCCACCACCTCCTACACAGCAAGCTCCTGGGTGAAGTGCACTGATGAAGCCAGAGGGGGAGCCACAGCCACAAAGTCAACGTTTGTTGAAAAAAAAATTTTTTTTTAAAGATTTTATTCACCTATTCACGAGAGACAGAGAAAGAGAGAGAGACAGAGGCAGAGACACAGGCAGGGGGAGAAGTAGGCTCCATGCAGGGAGCCCGACGTGGGACTCGATCTGGGTCTCCAGGATGATGCCCTGGGCTGAAGGCGGCGCTAAACCGCTGAGCCACCTGGGCTGCCCAACATAAAATTCAACAAGAGTTTTGTTTTTCTGGAAAAAATTTCAAGACATCATCAAAGGATGTAACCAAAAATCATTCACTTTTAAGTGGAAGGAATTGAGTTCTGTTTTAAAAGACAGCTCCTAGGGCGCCAGGGGTGCCTGGTTGGCATAGTCGGTGGAGCGTCCTACTCTTGCTGTGATCACAGCCTTCTACTTAGGCTGTTATCTCAGGGTCGTGGGATCAAGCCCCACACTGGGCTCCATGGTCAGCGGGGAGTCCGCCTGGGATTCTCTCCCTGTGCCCCCGCTCCCCCCGGCCCCAACAATACAGCTCCCTACTCTGCGATTTGGTTGGGAAATTATCCCAGGTCCTGGGGGCTGGCCAGAGAGCTAAAACACAGATGAATAGGCTTTGCGTTTCCAAGTCTACAGAGTTGAGCTGTATTTACAGAAAACAAATGGAAAGGCTTCTCCCACCTGTTCCTCAGGATACCGCAGACCCCACCACCAGCCCGCCTAGCACTGATGCTTCACAGGGGAGCGTCCTTCCGTGCACGACTCTGCTCCTTACAGGAAGCCTCCTAAAGCTCACTTGTGTAATCACTCTCCCCCACAAGGAACTGATTTTCTCTCCCTTTTCTCAGAAGCACTGAAGTGCTGTGAGTTGGTACACACTCAATGCTTTCCCCCAAGAGCTTTTTTTGTGCTGAGCACAGAGCCTAATGCAGAGCTTGAACTCACCACCCTGAGATCAAGGCCTGAGCTGAGATCCAGAGTCTGACGCTTAACTGGTTGAGCCACCCAGGTGGCCCTCTCCAAGGAGATCTTTAAATAACTATAGATGGGGCACCTGGTGGCTCAGGCGGTTAAGCATCCTGCCTTAGGCTCAGGACATGGGGTCGAGCAATGCATGGGGCTCCCTGCTCAGCAGGGAGTCTGCTTCTCCCTTTTCCTCTGCCTCTCCCTCCTCTGCTCCTGCTCTCTCTCAAGTAAATCTTAAAAAAAAAAAAATTGTAATTATTCATTAGGAAATAAATTTTAATTTCAAACTGAAAGTATATTTTCTCTAACATATGCAATTCATTCATTCATTCATTCATTCATTCATTCATTCATTCATTTATTTATGATAGTCGCACAGAGAGAGAGAGAGAAGCAGAGACACAGGCAGAGGGAGAAGCAGGCTCCATGCACCGGGAGCCCGACGTGGGATTCGATCCTGGGTCTCCAGGATCGCACCCTGGGCCAAAGGCAGGCGCTAAACCGCTGCGCCACCCAGGGATCCCTGCAATTCCTTTTTTTAAAAAAATGATTTATTTATTTATTCATTCAGAGAGAGCGAGAGAGGTAGAGACACAGGCAGAGGGAGAAGCAGTCTCCATGCAGGAAGCCCGATGTGGGACTCGATCCCGGGTCTCCAGGATCACACCCCGGGCTGCAGGCGGCACTAAACCGCTGCGCCACCGGGCTACCCAACATATGCAATTCCTAATGCATAGTTTCAGATGCAGTAATATCTTTGAACAAAATGGGGCAGGCATTGGATTCCTTTGAGATGCAAGAATATGCTCCTGGGGGACCTGGGTGGCTCCATTGGTTGAGTGTCCAACTCTTCATTTTTGGCTCAGGTTGTGATCTTTGGGTTGTGGGATTGAGCCCTGTGCTCGGCATGGAGTCTGCTTGAGATCGTCTCTCCCCCTCTCCCTCTGCCCAGACCCCTGTGCTCTCTCTCTGAATTAATCTTTAAAATATAAATAAAATTCAAGTGTTGCCTAAATTTCTCTAGTCCATGATTGTCCTTTATTTTTTGAAAATTTTCAGTAATCTCTATACCGAATGTGAGGCTCGAACCTATGACCCTGAGATCAAGTCAAACATTCCACCTACTGAGTCAGTTGAGCACCTCTTCTTGCACAACTGCCTC